ATTGAATTTCAGATATGTCGGCAGAAGGACAATGTCCGGTTTACGGGTTATCAGGCGATTTAATTCAATTGTGATTTTAATTTCTTCATCGGTTTGGGTTATTTGCACCATTATCGTAAAAACACACCAAAACACCACACACGCACACACAAGGGCGGATGAGGTTGCTGGCTTGACTCCAGAGCTTCTTAGTAAAAATCTTTTGCTTCTTAGTATTTTTTGTTTTTGTTGTTGGAAATATTTTTGTTTATTTAAATATTTATTTTGTTCATTACTGATAAGTCAATGAAGAACACAGGGTATTGGAATTATCGAAGTTATTTGACTTCTGTCCGCTCGTTGTAAGAAATGACTTTTGACACCGGTGAATGCTCTTATTACAATGTGAATGTTTTCTCACTGATAAATCATCAATAGGTCGGCATTGTTTTTCCATTTCCTTTTTCCGTTTCCATACCGATTCGATTATTGTTCGATTTATTTATTATTTATTCGTGTTGTGCCAACAAATATTAAAGTGGCTATCTCTTGCTGTCTAAGCAGGCATTCAGGCGTTTTTTCCACCCCTTTATTAATGCTGTTGAGGTCGCCTAACATGGTAACCGTCATTTACACTTACTTAGCAACCGAATCAAATAAATCATATCGAAATATTTTGATTTCGAATTTATTTGCAAGTGACAATTATTATTTGGTAAATAGGCACAAACAAAAGGTTGTCTAAGGTCTAATAAGTAAGATATACAGTGGGATTGGCTAAATCATTTAAGCGGATGTCTTAAATGTGGAGTGCATACAAATATGGACCTATACTCAAAACACCCAGTAAGTAAAGGACCTTATCTGGAACATTTTGATCGGACAGATCCACTACTAGACAGATTCATATAAATTTTATTAGTGTTCGCCTTTGAAGCAAATAAGTGTTTTAGATATTTGACCTGTTTTTGATTAAAACCCAGTAAGGAATACAACAAATTCGAAAAAAATCTATGGCAGTGGGTTCTACGATACCGGATTGACACCAAATTACTCGGCTAGGAGCTTCCAATCCAGTTATATAAGTTTGTATTGTTTTTCTATTTTGATAGCAACATATTCCATAATGCTTGCTCCGAATTCTTTTTGTCCGTTCCGAGATCGAACAAAACCCCGGACCGAGATTCTGTTCAGTTTACCACAACATCATTCACCGCAAGTCAGTGAGATGAAATGGGTGCAGGGATGGCTGCACTTCAGGAACTGTTTCGGTTTGGCCCGGATGCGAGACTTCTGTAAACGGGATTGCGTTGTCTCGTGCTTCTACTTTGGAATGCCAAGCGAGTCTTCGTCCACGACGTCATCTTCTTCGTCGGAATACGGAACTCCAACGCAGTCTCCTCAACAGCAGCCCAATATGTAGCATTTAACACCGCACATTAGTGTTTCTACTCCTGAAAGTGCATTATTTCTGCAATTTAATTGCAACGGTCTTCGAGGAAAAATAAACGAGATAGTGGATTTCATGAATCGGAAGAACATCTTGATCGAGACTTTGCAGGAAACCAAGTTCAATGAAAATTGTAGTCTACAGCGTTGTGATAGTTACTACGTTCTGAGGAAGAATCGCATTTGAAATGGATCTGTTCAATACAGACCTATCTAGCTTGAGCTAGACTCTAGTGGAATGGAATGTGGTACTGCCGAAGTAGAGGTGCTTACCTCTACTTCGGTATATACCTCCGAATTATAGCTGGAAACCGCGTTGTTTGTCTAACATTAGCTTCCTATTGGAGGGTGTTTGAGATATTGGGAAACCCAACTTTATTGTTTGGCTGTAATATCAATTCTAATTATACCCTTCACCACACGGTGATACAGGGTATTATGTCTTTGTGCCTATGTTTGTAACAGGCAAAAGGAACCCAGATAGACACATGGTTCCTTTTGAGAATATGCTTAGAATCACTTTCTGAGTCGATTTACGCATGTCCGTCTGTCCGTCCATGTATTTTTGTAAACAAAGTTCAGGTCGCATTTATGATCCAATTTGGATGAAATTTGGCAAAGGTCACTTATTTGGACGAACCCTATTGAAATTGGGAAACATCGGTTCAGATTTAAATATAGCTCCCATATATATTTTCGTCCGATTTAATGTAAATGGTGCACCAAAGTCCCTATATATCTCTCAATTTGCACGAAAATTGGCACAGCGTTATGAAATAGGTCTAGAATGATGTGTGTTAAGTTTCCTGAAATCGGTTCTGATTTAGATGTAGCTCCCAAATATATTTTCGTCCGATTTAATGTAAATGGTGCACCAAAGTCCCTATATATATTTCGATTTACACGAAATTTGGCACAGCGTAATGAATTAGGTCTAGAATGATGTGTGTTAAGTTTCCTGAAATCGGTTCAGATTTAGATATAGCTTCTAAAGCTCGACGTCTGTTAGGATTCATCAGTTGAATATACCCAAAGTGGTGAAGGGTATCATATAGTCGGCACCGTGCGACTTTACTACTTTCCTTACTGGTTTTTATTATGCATTTTTTTCTTTAAATACACCATAAACTAATCTAACATAGCCTAATCTTAGACACACAATATTTATCAATTTTCACAGAGCACATTAGGGTTGTTTTGTCCCTATCGAAAAGTTTACCTCAAATGAGCGCACCAATATCTTTGAGGGTAAACTTTAGTCAAATCCTTTATTAACAACGCACACACATAGATCTTGTGAATATCCACCTATCATAAAAACCCTCGAACATTATTTATGTGAAGAGATCCTAAAAATACCTATTTTTATGAACATAGTGCAATAAACGCCTGGTGCTAAGGGATTTCAATGCGCACGACGAATTGTGACATTCTGTCCTAGGTAATGACCAGAGGGGAACACTTCTGGCAGAGAAACTTGGTACTTCCACGTTCTCCTGATTAAGGGGAGAGTGTCCCTGTTCATAAGAAGTCAACTGGCAGCCCGTCATTTCTCTTGGTCAGCTCGCCACAATCGTATCCATCAGCAGACCGCCCGAATTCATTCTAACGCAGCAGATCCCAGAGTTAGGGAATTCACTTTGGAAGTCAGCAGACTAGTTGCGGAGCATAAGCGGAATAAATGGATGGAGCATCTGAAGAGTTGTTACATCCGAACCGGTGTTAGTAAACGTTAGGCAACGATTAAATCGCTTTCGAACCCTGGTAAACAGGATTATTTTACCCGACAGTTTATCGAGCATTCCGAGAGCGACAGTGTGAAGCGAATAGTACTACGTCATATAAGATATTTTCTCGCGGAGGAGGTACCACCACAGTTTACAACGAGTGATGTCGCATGTGTCATCCGTAGCGATACGTTATTTAAAGCGTGGGTCCTGGCTATCCAATTACAAATCATCAACTTGGGTTCCCTAAGCAACACACCAACAGCTTTGCCGCCATTTCCATACATATAAGTCGAGGACTTAAGTAGAACCGGCGGTGCTATAGAACAGTGTCGGTAGCGCATGACCTATCAAAATCCTTTTATAGATATAGCCCCCGAAATTTTACATAGCGTATTGAATTAAGTCTAATCGATTGAGACTTTTGAAATTTCGGCATGGCCCAATTTTTCAACCTGGTATTTCATTATCTCCCGACAACAATTTACAATGTCATAGCGCTAGGGTTGCCAGACCGGCTGGAATGTCCAGATTTTGGGGCTTTTCCAGCTTCAAGCTAAAATTAAAATTGTTCAGCTATGTTGAGATTTCTAAGTCACTGGAATAACTTGGGCAATAGTTTTCAGGTTATCTTCCAAATTAAGTCATTTTAGCCATCACTGAATGCACATTTTTTATAATATCCACCATAATGTGGAGTAATCCGTTTTCAACACCTCGAAATATTCCGGAGACCCCATATTCTTTGTTGAGCTGGTCATTATTTTGGAATAACGAGCTCGCAAGATTTCTGATAGAAATTAGAATATTTAACACTTTATGACCCAATGTTGCCCACAGGCAACAGCTTATATTTAATATGCAGGTAGTAGATATATATTATTTGGATTTCATATGTCAAGACCTGATTATGGACGACACATGTCAAAAATAAAATGTAAAAAATCAATTTGTTGATAATGTTATGAGCTTTTTAATATAGAGAAGAGGGCAAAATTGTGTACAGTACTAATTTGTGTATACAGTCCAAATTATTTAAATCGCTTCGTATTCGAATTGTACGAATTCTGCGATCGGAATTATTTTTGATTCTTATAAAGAATAATATAGAAAATAATTTAACATTATTTTTGCGTCGATTTTGCATTTGGTTTTCCAGATATTGGACTTTTATTTTTCATTAAGAATGTACTGTATCTCCCGAATGTAAGGATGTAGCGATGCCAAATGTTGTTCATATCCTATTTAGGATAGTTGCATTGAATATGTGAACAGAAAATTGTTCTGTGACTACGGAAAAAAAATTCGCTTCGCTTTTTAAAACGGAAGTCCAGCTTTTTGTGAATCGGAATCTGGCAACCCTACATAGCCCCCATACAAATGTGATTATTTAGTAAAGTAAAAATACATTTTATTAAAATAATATAAACATTTATTTAAAATATAATAAAACAAAATAATAACATACATATATATAAAAACACAATTAATATAACATAATATAAGTAGTGTACAGATACGCATATATATATTTACATATTGAATTGAATATTTGAAAGTGAAAGTTATTTGTTTTTAATAAAAGATTACACTAAAATTATATTTAGAACATAGATAGATTATGAAATAAAATAAAATTCGCATCCAGAATGAGGAACCACAAGAAAACTAAACTAAAGATTCTGCAAATCCCTCATTAGAATTAAAATTACATCCAAGGAATAGTAGTTAAAAGAAACGATTCCAATTTACGGAACCAATATGTGACAAAGCATAGATAAGCATTTCGACTATTATTATAATTTATATTAGTATTACAAAATTCGAGAAGTGCCCTGCGGCCATTTAACATGCCACCAAATGAAAACCTTCCGGTTCATCGTCGAACGATACCCATGTGTTTTGTAAATATTTTCGTACATCACTATCGGTGGCAGCCAAATCTATTAATGGGTTATCACTCTTCTTCTCATCCAAATGTGAAGTGATATGGACATCGGCTTTAGATTGGAAGACAGCATTGCCATTTTGTTCCTTTAGAATGTTATTACTTTCATTCTTGTTGTTGTTGTTATTACTATTGCCAATTGTGGTAGTGGTAACGGTCATACCACCATTAATGGGATTCTTCACCTGATGCACCACCGTATCACGCCAATTTTGATAGGCATTCTCAAAGCAGCGGGCCACCAGCAATGTTATTTCATGGGCTATCTTACGTTTCGGACACAAAAATACATGACAAGACATTTTCTCTTTGTCCGACAGCGGATCAGGTTCAGAGCCCACAAACGAAAAGGCATGATCGTGGGCAGCATCCACAGAACAATAGGAAATTTTATAAATCGAAAAACGCATCAACGATTCATCACTGACATGATCCATCACCTCAATACCCTCTTCGGTGATAATGACTTTAACACGTTTTTGGGTCTTGATCTTACGACCACCCGCTTTGGCATTAGCAATCACAGTTTTTATAGCCTCCGATGTTATCTTCTCGGAACGTTTATTCTCGATGGGTGTACAACCGAGATATTTAAGTTCATAGGTCTGGAAAATCGGCTTATTATCTTCTTCGCCATCAGCTTCAAGGGATCCCTCAAAATTGAATTTCATATCATCGGAATCAGCTTTTTTGCCACCAGCGGATTCTTTGATGTTCTTATCAGCACCGCCTAGACCCCAATCTTCACCGTCTATGACATCGTCTGATGTGAATTCTGTAAATAGGAAGAACAAGAAATATAAATTCCGTTTAGTTGTTTATAAATAAATACGAAGTTACATGATTACTGATAACATAAATGCGAACGTAATTATCGCGTCAAAACGTCGTAGAAAATTATTAAAAGGGCAGACAAAGAAACTAACAAAAAGGGCACAAGACTGCCACATGACAACTGATTAATTTTGCGTTCTAAAAATCAGATTAATAATAATGGCGTAGTTAATTGGTTACTTCCTTATACTTTGAAACGATTTATTTTTATGGAAAATACGCTGTGCCAAATTTCTTGCATATCGAAAGATATATAGGGACTTTGGTGCAACAGCCATATCTAAATCTTTTAACGAAACTTCACGTAGGTCATTCTATGCCTAATTCATTACGCTATTCCAAATTTCGTGCAAATCCAATGATATATAGGGACTTTGGTGCACCATTTACTTTAATCGGACAAAATTATATATGGGAGCTGAACCGATCTGAACCGATTTTGCCAATTTCAATAGGGTTCGTCCTTGGGTCATTCAAATCGGATGATAAATGCGACCTATACTGTACATCAACAGACGGACATGCGTAAATCGACTCAAGAAGTGATTCTATGCATATTTTCAAAAGGAACAATGGGTCTATCTCGTTTCCTTCTGCTTTTACAAACATATGCACAAAGACAAAATACCCTGTACCACAGTGTGGTGAAAGGCATAAACAAGTTTTTATGCTACTAAGGGATTATATATTGTCATATTTGGAAGATTTTCAGCTGACAAACCATATTCCGAGACAGATGATTCCGGAAATAGTCACGTACAGCATCACACTGATAGGAAAAACTCAGATACATTTATATAGAAATAACCATTTGTCTCCTGTTGTGATAGCTACACCTTTCAATTCGAATTTAAATTTTAGCACAGAGTGTTTTTGATTATAGAGTGTAGGAATTAGCGCATATTTGCGGTTATCATTATATGTGGGCTAAGCCTAATTAATGACCGTTATATATGAATTTTGAATTTTGGTTTTGTATCTCAATTCGTTTATTATATGCGAGAGATTCCTATATTCCATTTTCGTCAGGTCCGAGTTTTTTATCACTATTAGTAGGCGGAATGATTACAACAGATGGCTAAATCGTCTTAGAGTTCATACTTTGTACCATTATATGGGGGTTATCCGAAAAAAATGGATCTATATTTATAATTTTTTAGTGGGGAGATTGGCTTCCCAATAAGAACTCAAAGTACTAAATTACAGCCAACTCGGTCGAAAATGCGATCAAAACACCCAAAAATACTGGAAATTGGGGGCTACCAGAAAAGGTGGACCTAGATTTGTAATTTTTTGGAGAAATTTGGTACCCAATATGGAAAACGCGCTCAAGAACCTCAAAATACCGAAAAGTGGGGGGACGGGGATACACTTATATGGGAGCTATGCCTAAACGTCGACCGATATAGCCCATCTTCCTGCCTGCAAAATTTTGACAAAAGACGCTAGAGTGAATACAACAGACGGACAAGCTTAGAATTTTAGAATTTACGCTGAAGAATTAGAATTTTACGCTGATCAAGAATAAATACTTTATAGGGTCGGAGATATACTTTTACTTTATAGGGTCGGAAATGATTATTTCGATGCGTTACAAACGGAAAACCAAAACTAATACACCCTCCATATTATGGTGGAGAGTTTAAAAATGTTGACATTGAGTGGGGGATTGGTCCGATTTTCAACATCATTGAACTTAATCTAAGTTTGGAAGAAATATTACGATGTGCAAAGTTTGGATGAAATCGGTTACTCCCATCGTGCTCACCAGCCGGTCATTTGTAAATCGATTTCAAATTGTCTAAAACGGGTTTCTCCAATATTTCGATGTTGTACATTTTTGCCATAGACACAAGACTGAGGGTATAAAAAATAATTCGCGAAAAACAAATCCGGATCGTTAGTTTTTTTAATCGGATTTTCTGATAATAAACACAATTTTTGTACCCATTTTTGTGTGTTACATAAATGTAGAATTATTAACTGATCCGGTGGTAAAGCAATTGAACCTTCGTAGTTGTATAAAATGTTGCAACAACATTTTTTTACGTTTTCAAGATTCTATTATTCTAGCAATCCAATTGACACTTCCTTATAAACAAACATTTTCAAATGATTTGTGGTTGATGTTTTTTAACGAATCAAAATATGATAAGATGTTGTAAAAAATGTATAACCCTTTCTTTCTTTCAGCGAATGACGTGATCATCTATATTCCCTTGTTGTTGCACCCATTCAAAATAAAGCGTCATAAAATATTGAAATATACAAATTAACCACACATATTTTCTGCGTAGGCGAAAAATTTTATTTTCGACTCGTTCTGATTAGAAACAGCATTTTTGCACTAATTCCCTCTGATATAATACCTTGTTATTACATCATGACATGATCAATTTATACTATTACCATAATAGGCTTCTAATAAACAAAAAAAAAATCATCGTCTTAATAAATAAAATTAGCTGATACAAAATAAAGGAAATTCTCATAATGCAATTCTGGTGAATGTGTGAACACAAAAGCTTAGTACTAAGAAAGTGAAGGGTGTAGACAATCTCTGTTCGTGTACATTTAAATAGTTTACACTGAAATGATAATTAAAATTACATTGAATTTAGCTTTTTTTAAGAACAAAAGAAACATTCTTCTTTTTTAATCTATTTCCGTGTTGTTATTGGTGCGGCAATTCCAAAAAATCTTAAAATAATATGTCTTATCTTTCTAAAGAATTTATTTTATTTTTGATAAAAATTGCGAGGGACATACCACAAATGACGCAGCTCATGTTTGTGATTATAATAAAAAACATTTGAATTATTTACTTGCAGATTTAATGAGATGAATAAATAAAATAAAGTGTTTACTTTTTTTCGGCAGACCTTCTTTCCAAGAAATGTACACAAATTAAAATTTATATGGGAACAGTAGCAGATGTGGTTTTTTGAGATTGGGACCGAAATTAAAAAAATAACACTTAATTTGAGATTGAAACAACATTTAGAATATAGAGTTTTGTTTTATTTACCGAATATCGAAAGAGTTCTGTCCTTCATTTTATATCTCGTATAACGAGTCGTTTCAAGCGACTGTAATCGTATTACAATATTAACCTGTAAGGAAAGTAGTAAAGTCGGACTGGGCCGACTATATGATACCCTTCACCACTTTGAGTATATTCTACACATGTATCCTAACAGACGTCGCGTTTTTGTTATATATCTGTATCTGAACCGATTTCAGGGAAACTTGCCAGAGACTAATTTATATTACTTCAGTACATTGTGCCAATCGGCCTAGCTATGGATCTTTTCACGATGCTTAGCAACATCATTCTAGACTTAATTCAGTACCCTATACCACAATTCGTGCAACTCGAAAGATATATAGGTGCACCAATTACCTTAAATCGGATGAAAATATATATGGGAGATATATCTAAATCTGAACCGATTTTCACGAAACTTTGCACACATCATTCTAGACTTAATTCTGTACCCCATGCCAAAATTCGTACAAATGAAAAGATTTCCACGGACTTTGGTGCACCATTTAACTAAAATCGGGCGAAACTATATATGAGAGCTTTATCTAAATCTGAACCGATTTTCATCAAACTTAGCGCACATTATTATATAAGCAATTCAGTATGTTATGCCAAATTTCGTGCAAATCGAAAGATATATAGGGACTTTGGTGCACCATTTACCTCAAATCGGACGAAGATATATATGGGAGCTATATCTAAATCTGGACCGATTTTCTCGAAACTTGGCAGACATCACTCTAGGCTTAATTCAGTACGTTTTGCCAAATTTCGTGCAAATCGAAAAATATATAGCGACTTTGGTGCACCATTTACATGAAATCGGACGAAACTATATATGGGAGGTATATCTAAATCTGGACCGATTTTCTCAAAACTTGCCAGACATCACTCTAGGCTCAATTCAGTACGTTATATCAAAATTTGTGCAAATCGAATGATATATAGGGACTTTGGTGCACCATTTACATGAAATCGGACGAAACTATATATGAGAGCTATATCTGGACCGATTTTCACGAAACTTAGCAGACATCATTGTAGACCTAAATGATTTGGCTGTACCAAATTTCGTGCAAATCGAAAGATATATAGGGACCGTTTACATTAAATCGATTAAATATATATGGGACCTATATCTAAATCTGAACCGATTTTTCCCAATTTCAATAGAGTTCGTCCTTGGGCCGAATAAGTGACCTATGCTAAATTTCACCCAATTCGTATCATAAATGCGACCTGTACTTTGTTTACAATTTAACATGGACAGACCGACGGACGGACCGACGGACATGCGTAAATCGACTGAGAAAGTGATTCTATATATATTCTCAAAAGGAACCATGGGTATATCTCGATTATTTTTGCCTTTTACAAACATATGCACAAAGACATAATTCCCTGTACCACAGTGTGGTGAAGGGTATAAAAATCTAACCTGTATATAACCCCAATCGATTCAATATGTTATTGTCATTAGATAAATTAATTGAATTATTTTCCGCTGATGGTTATTATTGTTGTGAAACAATTTAATTGATTAATTGCAATACGCCCCAAATAAATGCAAAAAAAAAAATAACATGTGTGAATGTATATTTTCTCCCTGGATGTTTGACGGACAATGATAAATAGAATCTGGTGTTTTATTATTTGCAAAACACATTTAAACACATTGTATGATGTGATTTCAAATGTGATGATAAATACATTAAAAATAATGTCCTCCAGCACGAAACAGTCGGGTTGTTAAATAACATTACAGTTAAAGATCGATAATTCGATTTAGAGATTCAATGATCGTCTATACACCAGACGATCCCACGAAGATCCATTTTCCCATGAAGATCCAATATATTACGGTAATAGATTTTAATGTCTTTTTTGATTGGAAAATACTAAAAGCGGTTAATAGCTTGCTTTTATTAGTACGGAATATATGTAACTACACAGACATTGAATTATGTGGATTATAATCGAATAAACATATAAATATAGGATTGATGTCATTAAAACACGAACGTAATATCTCTAGCGATATTACTGTACAACATTTGGATCACCATCTGGTGATAATTAGGTTACGGTTCATGAAATTAAGGACGAAAAGAAGTCACAATAAAGGCTACAAACAAAGCTAGAAATGCCAAAATTTGTCCTATGGGAAATCGAAAGGCTTCGATTCTTATAGGGTAGTAATATTTGTTTACTTTATGAGTCCCAGGAAATTGACGACACATGTAGTGCGTAGTAATGATCGGTTAATATTTATGCGATCTTTTTGCTGATTTCCCTAGTGGTTCGGCAGGTCAAAATTATGACCCGACTTTTATGTAAAAAAAAAATTAAAAAAAAAAAAACAATAAAACGATGTTAAGTTTGACCCAGTCGAACTTTTTATACCCTCCACCATGAGGATGATATTCGAAATGTCTAAAATGAATGGGGGCTTCTAGGTGAAAACTCATGTTAGATAGGACCTTGTACATACCAAGCAAGACATGAGAAAAATATGAAGATGAAAAAAATACCAGATTACAGCCAATTCGGTTAAAAAACGTGTCCAACTTAGGTCAATGTAAATAATTTGTATACCCTTCACCACCATGTGATACAGGGTATTATGTCTTTGGGCATATGTTTGTAAGATGCAAAAGGAATCGAGATAGACCCATGGTTCCTTTGAGAATGTGCATAGTCGAGTCGATTTATGCATGTTCTGAGTCGATTTATGCATGTTCGTCCGTCTGCCGTATTTATGATACGATTTTGATGAAATTTGGCACATGTCACTAATTTGGCCCAAGGACGAACCCTATTGAAATTGGAGAAAATCTCACAGAGTACTGAGTTAGGTCCAGATTGATGTATCTGGAGTTTTGTAGAAATCGGTTCAGATTTAGATATAGCTCCTATATATAGTTTCGTCCGATTTTATGTAAATGGTGCACAAAACTCCCAATATTGGTACGATTTGGACAAAATTTTGTACAGAGTACTGATTTAAGTCCAGATTAATTTATGCGAAGTTTTGTAGAAATCGGTTCAGATTTAGATATAGCTCCCTTATATAGTTTCCTCAGATTTTATGTAAATGGTGCACAATACTGACAATGTTTGTCCGATTGAGACAAAATTTTGCAGTTACTACAGGTTGACACCCATGAAGTTTTGTTGAAGTAGGTTCAGATTTAGATATAGCTCCTATATATATTGTCTTCCGATTTTATGTAAATGGCGTACCGAGGAGTCTATGTTTGTTCTATATTCACGAAATTTAGCAACGGGTATGGAATTTAGTCTAAAATGCTTTGGTTACGTTTGAAATCGGTTCAGATTTAAATATAGTTCACATGTGTACTTTAGTCCCATTTTATATAAATTGTGGACCATTGATCCTGTTCTATGTGCACGATATTTTGTCCGCTTAGGACGAATTAGTGCACAACGCACGGAATCGAAGCTAGAATAAAGTGTATTGGATTTTGTGTCGAGATAAATATTGGATAGCGCACTGCGTTGCAGCATATCAAATGGTGGATGCCACGGTTGCTCAAATACGTCCATTTATATAGATCTTATACATATTTTGCTCGATAATTGACATTCAATTTTTCAAAAATTTCAGATTGGTATATGCATGGATTATTTTAATTTAGTTCACATATCTATGTTCTTCTCGGAGTTAATTTGGTCCAATTCAATTCCAATGGTCCTTCAAAGATTATAGAAATATGGAAATAGTTAGCTGATTAGTTTCGTGTGTAGGGTTGTCCCCATATAGGCGTTTTCTACCATAGTATAGGCGATAGTCGTTACTTGAAATAGTCAGTTTTTACCCTACAAAGTATGGAATTCATCGGTTGTAATCACTCCGCTTTCTAACCATATTATTATTATTTATACCCTTCACCACACTGTGGTACAGGGTATTATTTCCTTGTGCATATGTTTGTAACAGGCAAAAGGAAACGAGACATATACATGGTTCCTTTTGAGAATATGCATAGAATCACTTCCTGAGTCGATTTATGCATGTCCGTCCGTCTGTCAGTCCATGTTAAATTGTAAACAAAGTACAGGTCGCATTTATGATCCGAATTGGATGAAATTTGGCACATGTCACTAATTTGGCCGAAGGACGAACTCTATTGAAATTGGGAAAAATCGGGTCATATTTAGATATAGCTCCCATATATATTTTCGTCCGATTTAGTGTAAATTGTGTACCAAAGTCCCTATATACCTTTCGATTTGCACGAAATTTGGCACAGCGTAATTAATTAGGTATATAATGATGTGTGTTAAGTTTCCTGAAAATCGGTTCAGATTTATATATAGCTCCCATATATATTATCGTCCCAACCTGCATCGATTTTATGGTAAATGGTGCACCAAGATCCCTATATATCTTTCGATTTGCACGAAATTTGGCACAGCGCAATGAATTAGGTCTAGAATGATGTGTGTATATATATATATATACATTCTTTCTTCCGATTTTATGAAAATTGTGCACTAAATACCCAAGGTTTGTCCGATTGCCACACAATTCTGTACAATGAGCTGTAGTTAATATAAATTATTCTCTGGTAAGTCTCGTTGAAATCGGTTCTCCTTACTGGTTCTTGTATATAATCGTTTACATAAACCGGTTTGCAGAATTATCGGCATAGGCCCCCGTTTTGGTATGTTCCCTATATTTTCATTGCAAGTATCTGTCAGTATACCAATGGTGGAGGGTATCCAAAGTTTGACCCGGCCGAACTTAACGCTTTTTTCAATTGTTTCGATTGGACGAATTTCTGCATAAAGTACCGTATTGGAGCTACAATAAATTTACATATAGCTCTCATACATAATTTTGCTCGATTTCATACATATGGTACACCAAAGAACCCAAGTCTGCCCGATTGACATGCAATTTTTCATAGATATCAGATGTTGGTTCAAATATCTATGTAGTTCACACATTTCATTTTGCACGATTCAATTTCAATGGTTCTCCTAAGATGATATTTATGTATAGCCGGACCCGTCCGACTTTTGAACTTTCCATACTTTTTTAACTTTTCTAGAAAAGAAAGATTTGTATCAGAGCCTAAAATGGACTTAAACCACTTTGAAAATAAACGACTCATATGCTGTTTTATAATGTTCTGCGAAGTCGTCGTTGGATAACATTTTTTGTGCAGCATAAGACACGATTAAGAAAACTTAAATATTATAACATCTCGTCCATGCGTCATACACTATTGTGTATACATATATAGTTTTTGGTACTTACTTTTGTGTTTGTAGTGGGTTTTCCATTTGCGGAAAAATGCCATGGTCAAGCTGCAGGCAGGTGCTATGACCAAGAACAAGAAAAATCTCCAATAAATTCGGCAACAAAACACCGGGCTTTAGGCAGCAATAGACAGCAAATATTGATTAAAATTTACAGCAATTCGGAAGACTTGAGCTGCAGCCAGCACTAATATGTGGAAACTTCAATTCTTGAAGTGTCAGACCAAAAAGGGGTGAATGCAGGTGTATGCAAATTGGCAGTTGACAGCAGTATAGTAATATGACCAATGTTTCTATGGAGATCCAGCAAAACAATGCGAAAATGTTATTTTCCGAATTTTTTTGGTTGATAATAGCAACGCGTCCGACAAAAACGTTGGAGGGGTTTTTGTTGTTCTTTGGTCTAAACAAAGCTTTTGACACTCGACCGCTGTTTGGCGTGTTAATTGTTCTGCGGTATAGTTTCAAGTGAAACAATCGACTTGTTTTTGCAATCAAGCAAATAAATGATGTTTCAGCTGTTATTCGGTTTTTTGTTGTTGCTGCAGGGGCTAATGGTTTGAGAAGTAAAAAAAACAAATGGAGAGAATTACAATCCAGTGTTTGTTTGTGGTTTTTGTGGCTTAGAATTTATTTTCTAAGTCCGATTGTTTTGTTGATAAATTGTTTTTGTTATTTTTATTATTATTTTTTTTTTTTGTAAAACGTCTCCCGTCTTGTTATTTAGAATCACAACGCAATTTATTTATGACCGATTTTTTTGTTTTGTTTTGAAATTTTTTTGTGTGTGTTTGATTTTTTTTAAAAAATGTTATTACGTCTTTTTTTGGTATTTGCACAAAAGTGAGCGTTGATTTTAGCCAGAAACGTTTACGAATATTTTTAGCTTGGTTTTTTCCTTCGCGGGCCAGTGAGAAGGGGGTAATGCGGTCTTTTTGGCTTCTTTTGTTTTTGTTTGGGGTTTTTGCGCAAAAACTTGTTTCCACTGTGAATTTTCAAAACGAAATGAAACAAGTAATCAAATCAAAATATTCAAACAATATCAACACCCAACCAGCCAGCGAGCCAGTCATCCGCACAGCTACGATCACACACAAAAACAACAGCAAAAATTCGTAGGCTACAGCTTCAGCTGCTGCTGCAGCGGTGGCTATAGTCGGTATTCGCAAAAATTTGCAAAACAAATAATAATAAAATATCGTTCACTTTATGCTCTTCTTATGAATGGCAAGAAATGGCAAGTGAAAAAGAAAACAAATATTGGGAAGAGATTTTGTGGAGAGTGGGAGGGAAATGGTCGACTTTCTGTGACCCTATAATAACTCGAAAACAAGTAAAAACTTTGTTTTATACCCCTTCACAATGTGGCGTGTTTTCTAACTATTGGGAAATGTAAAGTCGGACGGTGCCGACTATATGATACCCTTCACCACTATGGGTATATTAAACAGGAATACTAACATGAAATTGGATGAAATAAAATGTGATATTTACCTAAATGTGAATCTAATTAGATCTATCCATAAAGTATGTAATCGACTTCAAACAAATATAAATAGGTCATCCGTTGGGCTATGTCTGTACTTCTAGAAAATGCAGCTACGTAATTCTATGCTCAATTTTGTAAGTTGTGCAAAATTTGATGTCAATCTGACTAACATGAGGAATTTGATGTCCAATTTACTGAAATCGGGCGAAAATATACATGGAAGCTCTATCCAAATATTAAGTGATTTCAAACAAACTTGTCACATGTTAGGTTATACTAATTTCAGAACGTTATGTTCCTATCAGTCTATTGGTTCCTTGGTGCGTCAATAACTTAAAATCAATCTATAATAAAAGGGCCGGACCAATTTTCTCGAAACTTGACAGACATCACTATAGGCTCAATTCAGTACGTTATGCCAAATTTCGTGCAAATCGAAAGATATATAGGGACTTTGGGACACCATTTACATGAAATCCGACGAAACTATATATGGGAGCTATATCTAAATCTGGACCGATTTTCACGAAACTTGGCAGACATCACTCTAGGCTTAAATCAGTACGATATGCCAAATTTCGTGCAAACGAAAGATATATAGGGACTTTGGGGCACCATTTACATGAAATCAGACGAAACTATATATGGGAGCTATATCCAAATCTAAACCGATTTTCACGAAACTTTGCACACATCATTCTAGACCTAATTCATTACGCTGTGCCAAATTTCGTGCAAATCGAAAGATATATAGGGACCGTTTACATTAAATCGGACGAAAATATATATGGGAGCTATATCTAAATCTGAACCGATTTTTCCCAATTTCAATAGGGTTCGTCCTTGGGGCAAATAAGTGAGCTGTGCCAAATTTCATCCAAATCGGATAATAAATGCGACCTGTACTTTGTTTACAATTTAACATGGACAGACAGACGGACGGACGGACATGCATAAATCGACTCAGAAAGTGATTCTATGCATTTTCTCAAAAGGAACCATGTGTCTATCTCGTTTCCTTTTGCCTGTTAGAAACATATGCACAAAGACATAATACCCTGTACCACAGAGTGGTGAAGGGTATAAAAAAATTACCGAATTTTTGTGTGGCGGTTATATATATTTATTTTGGGAAAAAGTAGTTGTTTATTCATCAATAATCCGTAATGCCAAGTAACAGCAATTTCATTCGGAAAATGCCTGAAAAACTTTAAAAATAACTAAATTGGATCAGGAACATAATATGGGGTCTATTTCAAAACATGGTCCTACATTTAAAATTTTTGCAAAGTAACAGTCCTTTTGGGTGGGAGAATGCTGTTAAAACATTAGAAATGTCGGAAATTGGGAGAGACAAAGTATATTGTGACTATGTCAAAAATTGGAAATTTTTTGAAAAATTGTGTGATTTTTTTCAACCTCCAAAAACCGGAATGCCTTTCTATTAAACATAAAAATACCGAAAATGGCTGCAGGACAGTTATATGGGACAATGACAAAAAATGAACCTCTAACGAAAATTTTCTGCAAAAATATTTTTCGCCCTCAAATCTTTTTCTCCCAAATGCCAGCCCCATAGATTGGAAAATGCTGCTAATACCCCAAAATACCGAAACTTATTTCTGCACAAATATTCAATATCAACCTCCTAAAATAAACAAAAAACTTCATAAATAGGGTGGTGCCGATATATGCGAGCTATACAAAAAAAAGTGGCCGATCGATCATATTTGCAAAGTACCTAGAAGTACAAATACAAAGTTTCAAGGATCTACAATAAATATACAGATTGGAGGGCGGAATTTCATTTCGATCTAGAATATAAATTATGGGGTCTATGTTGCAACTTCTAAAAGTTTAAATTTGTTAAAAAAATAGATACCTTATATAAAGTCAATAATAAAACCTGTGTGTAATTCCGAAGACCTCCGCAAACCATAGGCTGAGGGTACATATCTGATTAACACCGAAAGACATTTTTTTAATGTATACGTCTTTAATATCTACAATATCTCCAACAGGTTTTTATAGAAAATGTTTAGGTATTCGATATCTATAAAGCTTTTTTGGACTTCTAGAGCCTTCTGCATAATATATTTTAAATTGTTTTCTATATATGCAATATCTTCCAAAATGAACCACTAACGAAAGATCGGCTTCTCAAACTTAAAAACATTTTACAGATATTCTGTGTATAGAATCTATACTACAAGTCTTTTTGAGCTAAAATATTTCGTACATGCCTTCTATTGCCAAATTGTTTTTTACAGTTCTCCTAGAGCCAGAATACTTACTACAACATAAATACCTTATGCGGGTCTAGAATAGTTAAAACCTCTTTTACGGTTGCGAATAGAACTATAACTAAAGGACATTCTTTAAAAAGTTCGCCCAAAAATAACACACTTTTCAGAAGAACGCCTACAGGTAATCTAGTGCCGGAATACTTGCTATAACCACCCTCCACATGTCTTCTATAGCCAAAAATTGTTCTACAATTCTTGTTGAACCGGAATACCTCCCATAACTAAAATAACAAATCGTCGGCAGATTTGCTTGTTATTCTATATTAAGTAGACCTTAATATATGGCGATGGCTATATGGCTACTTATAATGGTTAGCCTTCGTGTAGGGTATTGCTGCTCGCACAACACAACAACAATAAATTATTAAGACGTACATTATATTTTCAAACAACGACATCAGCGACGACAACAACAACAAAAAAAGAATTGCCTGAAAGGCTGAAGTTCAGATGATAAGCGGCGCATAAGATTTCTCAATGATGGCTGTTAAAAAACACAGCGGCGACATCTCTGGCGCTTACAGCTGGAGGTCGCCGATCAAAAAATAACTCAAATGCATAATCACTTGAAAATGCTGCGAAAAGGGTGATGATCAGTGGCATTACAAAAACCAATAAGTTAAGTAGCAAAGTCGAACTGAGCCGACTATATGATACCCTTCACCACTTCGGGTATATTTTACATACGTATCCTAACAATTTCATGTAAATGTTCCCTCGATGGCCTTTCTGCAACCTATGCTAAATTTAATTTCATTCGGGCAGATTTAGAGTCCTTTGCGTACAATGGGACAAATTAATAGAAATCGATTTATAGCTCACTTAATATACCCGATGCGGTATGCCGCACTGTTAAAAATGTAATCTCAATCAGACACCTGTTCAAAGCTATGTCTGCATCTGCATAAAATTCTACAAAACGCAGTAACGTCATTCTAGTCTCAATTTGATACGTTGTGCAAAATTTCGTGCCAATAGGACAAGCATAAGGGTTTTAGTGCACCATTTACCTAAAATCGGACAAAAATATAAATCTGAACCGATTTTCTTGAAACTTAATTGTGGTCTATAGATCGACTCGTAAACAAAACCACAAAAAATAAGTTTTCGGTCCACTTCATCCCAAAATTATTATCTGATCATCACCGAAAATTATAGGCGTTGTCGTTGACCATACCTGGATCCTCAAAGGAAAATTTCAAAGCGATCAGCCCTCTAGTGTGGTAAAGAGTTACTAAATAATAAATAAATACCTCCCACATCCGAGTACAT